TATGCTTACCGTTGTTCTTTTAATTTATGTACCTCTTAGGCACATGTGTGGGTGCCAGAAGTGGGTGTTGGGGTCCCTTTGAAGATGGAGTTACAGGCAGCTATGAACCTCCTGATGTGGGAGCTGGAAACTGAACTTGGATCCTCCGCAAGAGCAGCAAGTGCTCTTAACCACTGAGCACCATCTCTTCAGCTCCTAGTCTATCTAGATGCAGCTATTAATGATGGGAAGCAGAGCAATCGGTGTGTAGCCCAAGAACTCTGGTGTAGAATTCACATGGGTTTATCTTGTTCAATCCTTATAGCTTGAGAAAAGTCACTCATGTTTTATAGTGTGTGTGGCGAGGGTTAGGAGGCTCTCTCAGCTGCACTGGAAGTAGTGGTAGAGCTGGGATTTGAGCTGGTCTGGCTCTAGAGGCCCTGCTCTTAAGCTCTGCAGCCTGCCACCCTCATGGAAAGTGTGCGGGGCTGGTTGAACACCCAAATCTGAGATACTAAGGACTGAAAATATTTTTGATTTCTTAATTTTTTTTTAATATTTGCAAGCTTTTTTTTCTCTCTCCCTCCCCCCTCCTTCCCTCCCTCCCTGCCTTTCTCCTTCCTTCCTTCCTTTCTTCCTCCTTCCTGTTGAACATCCCCTAACCCAAAAAACTTAAAAAGTATATTGTGTGGTTGTGTGGCTTAAGAGGTAGTAGGGGACTGAAGAGATGGGTCAGTGGGTTAAAAACACCATCTTTCTTTTCCTGAAAAAATGGGAAGATTTTGGCCACTAGGAATAAAGGCCTACAACTGTGCTTGACTTTGCCCCAACTTACACTTAGGACTTCACTTACTTTTTTTCTTTCTTTTTTTTTTTTTCACTTTTTAAGATTTATTTATATACTATGTATACAATGTTGTGCCTGCAGGCTGGAAGGTGCCAGATCTCATTTTTTTAGATGGTTGTGAGCCACCATGTGGTTGCTGGGAATTGAACTCAGGACCTTTGGAAGAGCAGCCAGTAATCTTAACTTCTGAGCCATCTCTCCAGCCCAGACTTCACTTTCTTTTAGCCTTCTTGATCTTATGTGGTAAAGTGCTGGGTCTATAGGGTCTCTGAGGTCCTTTTGAATGCTGACTAATCATAGAAAGAAGGGTAGCACTGCTCAGCTCCTGAGTATGGAGTGAGGCATTTGTCAAGGCACAGAAAATGCTAACTTTCAGGGCAAGAGATGAGCCCCCGGGAGCAAGGCAGCTCTGGCTTTTTCTTGAGGCTGGTTACTAAGGGAACTCAGCCTGTGGTCAGTAACAGCCAGGGACACTTTGGCTGCAGCTTGGATAAGGTTAGCTAAAGCAAAAAGGTCATCCCCCAACTCCACCTTTCCTTTCTGTGTCTTTTCAAACTGTTGGTTTTGTACCTTTTTGTGTGTGCAGCGCTGTTTAAGTACTTGACTGATATAATATCTTCATAGTAATCTTATGTGAGTAGTAACTGCTAACCAAAATTTGCAGATAACAAAGCTGAGGAAAATAGAGTTAATAATGTGTTCACATTTGCACAGGTGGAGTGTCATATCTGCACCGCTAGCCTCTGGATTATATTGCCTGGGGGATCTGAAAAAACAAGCAGGAGAAAGAGTCTTTAGTGTTGTGAGTTCAGGAAGAACCTTTTTTTTTTTTTTTTTTTTTTTTTTTTTTTTTGAGACAGGGTTTCTCTGTGTAGCCCTAGCTGTCCTGGACTCACTTTGTAGACCAGGCCTGGCCTCAAACTCACAGAGATCCCCCTACTGGATGATGGAACTGGATGATGGAATGTATAGGTGTGCACCACGGTGCCCAGCTCTAGAGCTCAGAAGAACCTATGAAATGTTTAACATAGTTTCCTGTCCCTGATCTGCTGTTCATTCCAGGCATACTCTCTACTTCCCCTGACAGATGCCCACCCTGATTCTATTCCAATCCTCCACATATGAGAAGGACATCACTTTACTTAATCACTTCCCCTAATTCATTTTTATTTTTGAGACAGTTTTGCTAAGTAGCTCAGGCTGGCCTGGAAGACCTGATCCTCCTGCCTCACTCAGCCTCCCTAGTGCTGGGAATATAGGCATGTATCATCATGTCTGATAATATTCTCATTGGCAAAACATTATTTCTCTCTCTTTTTTTGAGACATGGTTGGTCCTGAGGCCTAGCCCTTTACAGTCTTGCCTCAGCTCCTGAGAGCATGGGGTCACCAGGATGCCAGGCTTTATTTTTTGTTTCGAGTTGAAATTTAATTGAGGTATCACATTAATTTTAGGTTAGCCTGGAATCTGGAACCTCACAGTATTACTTCATCTTCCACAGGCAGCCTTAGCTTTTTTCTACACTTGTAGTCTTCCCATGCCTGGCTTTCCTCCATCCCTCCCTTCCTCCCTCCCTTCCTTTCTTTTTTCTTTTTTCTTTCAGTTGGGTCAACCAGCACAAAAGCTCTCTTACCTATGAGTGAGTATTTTGCAGATGAAGTCCAGCAGATGTGGTACTTCTTGTCATTATATAGATTGAATCTGAGGTGTGGAGTCCTTGCCAGCTTGGGTAGTGGAGGAGGTGGAGTCTTTTCAGTTTCACAGAAGCTGGGGAATTGTATTGCGGGCTCTCCTGCGCATTTTGAGAAAGTCACAAAATGGCTGGAAGTTATTTGGGTGCTTGGCAAGCTGCATTTACTTTACTAGGCCACTAGGTGTTGAGCGACTCACAAATCTGGGCAGCAGGGACTGCAGTGACTGTGGCTGTCACTGAAGTCACAGGTCACCTCACTGAAAAGTGTGTTGGGTGCTGAGATGTGCTCCTTATATACTTTGCCTTTTTTGGCCTTGTTCTAGTTTTAAATGCCAGCCTGAAAAGTTCTTCGAATGGTTTTCATCGGAGAGGGGCATAGTGTGTGTGAATTAACAGTTTAAATGGAGGGTCAGCAAGGTGGCTCAGTGGGATCCCTGGAACACACACAGTGACAGGAGAACCAGCTCCCACAGACTGTTCTTTGACACATGGTGTAAGTACACACACACCAATAAATAATACAGTTTAAAAGTTAATATTTAAACTGAAAGACAAAAATCAAATGTATTTCTGGGGGACACTGTGATGTTTTCACATGTATGTACATTGTGCATACATGTGTTTAAATTAGGTTACACAGTACAATCTTCTCAAACATTAATCCTTTCTTTGTAGTGTTAAGAAAAAAAAAAACCCTCCATCTTCTAGTTTCTGGAATATATGATATATCATCATTGTAGTCTTCTTATTTGACATAGCACAGCCAACCTACATATTCCTAATTGTAACCTTTCCACCTCTCATTTCTTCCTCCCTCTCCATCCTATGACCACCATTCCACTCTGTTTTCATGAGATAACTGTTCCTTCTTTCCATGTGTGGAAAAATCATACTTACAGTGCTTGCTTTTTCTTCTTAGCTTATATCACTTAATGTGATGATTCCCTAATTCAGTCATGTTGCAAATGACAGACTTAAGAAAGTTTATTTTTATTGGCTGAATAGTATTCTATAGTATGATTTACATTTTCTTCCCTGTTTTCTCCCTCCTACTGTTCCACTTCCTTTCCTCTTTTAAATTTTTTTTTTAAATTAATTTTTTTGTTTTTCTTTGAGCTGGGGATGGGACAAACCCAGATCCTCATGAATGCTAGGTAAGCATTCTACCAGAGAGCTCTATCTTGCATTATGTAGTTATTGTCAATATTGCTGTAGTGAACACAGGGTTATTGATGTCTTTTCTTGTGTCAGTCTTTTGTTCTCAACAGGGTCTTATGCAGTCTACCCTCAGAGCTTACATCTTCCTGCCTTAGTCTGCCAAGGGCTGGGATCATCTGCATGTCTCACCATACTTGGTCCCTGTTTGAATGGTGGCTTCCACAGCTTTTAGGATTCTTCACTACTGATGATAGTCTGTGGAGTAGCCTTCTGGCATCTTGGGTTTCTAGTGACACAGATGAAGTATCTAGCGCCAGCAACGCGTGTCAGCGGCCTGTGCTGGTCCTTCCTTAGTCTTTGAAAGCAGGAGCCTGTTACCATCTTGAAGTTTACCATAGAGTGATGGGGTGTGCTTTTTATATTTTTTCTTTTTTCTTTTCTTTTCTTTTTTTTTTTTTTTTTTTTTTTGTCAAGACAGGGTTTCTCTGTGTATCCCTGGAACTTGCTTTGTAGACCAGGCTGGCCTCGAACTCACAGAGATCTACCTCCCAAGTGCTAGGATTAGAGGTGTGCATTACCATGCCCAGCTGAGGTGGGCCTTTTTAAAGATTTAAGAATGTAAATCCAGGGCTGGAGAGATGGCTCAGAGGTTAAGAGCACTGGCTCTACTTCCAAGGGTCCTGAGTTCAATTCCCAGCAACCACATGGTGGCTTACAACCATCTATGATGAGATCTGGTGCCCTCTTCTGGCATTCAAACACACATGCTGGCAGAATACTGTATAAATAATAAGTAAATAAAATATTAAAAAAAAAATGTAAACCCTGTCTTGGTGCAGGTGTTCTCTAGTCTCCTTATGTTATGGGTGAGGAGACTGGAACTGAATCCAGAAAAGTGAAGTGATCTGTCTTGAGTCACACAGCTAGCCACGATGGAACCTCAGGCACATAACCCAACTGCCACTGGGCTGTACAGGGAGTCATTAGGAATACATTGGAACATTTTTACTGAGACAGGCATTTTGCCAGCCATTCATGGGGAATCAGGAAGAGGTAACAACTCTTTACACTTGGAATGTGGCCCATGTGAAGGAGAACGATTCTTGTGCTCTGTTGATCAGTTAATGGATCTCTCTTGTAATTCTCAAACCCAATAAGCCAGAAAGTTTCTTCAGCTTTGGAGAAGTATTGAGTAGCCTGGGGCTGGATAAGTGTGATCATGCCCTGTTGTAAATGCTGGACAACCTAATCAGCTGCCAAAGCTTGGAGACAGACACCATAAACCATGTCTTATCAGCGGTCTGCTTTCTGTTTGTGTTCCAGCCTGGGACTCTGCTGATGGGAACCACCTGTTCCAGGTCTTTTGAGCTTTGGATTTCCCCAGTCCTTCAGTCCTTTCAGTTTTGAATTGAAACCTGCTCTACTGGGCGAGGCCAGGTCCAGGAGGACTTTGACAGCTCACACCAGCTTTTCTTTTCCTAGAGCCAGCTGGTATGTGAGCTTGTGTTTCGAGAGGTGTTGAATCAGCTGTTGGGTAAGGTCTGAACAGTGTCATTTCTTTGGGTAACCAGGAAAACAAAACCAAATATGCCCAAGAAGCTGAAAGTTAAGAGTACAGTCACCAGAGGGCTGCACAACCTCAATCTTGCTTTCCTGAAGAGAACCTTTCCTACCCCAATGCCCTGCCCCAGGTTTCTCAGGTTAGTTAGCCCAGACTGGCCTTGAATTTGTAATTCTCCTGCCTCAGCCTTTAGTGTTAGAATTACAGGTGTACACCACCATGCTTTGCTACAAAAAGTGTTTTGTTTTGGACTTTCTTTCCTTCTCTTTCTTTTTTTTCTTTGGACTTTCTTTTTCTTCCTTCCTTCCGTTTTCTTTTCTTTTTTTCCCAAGATATGGTTTCTCTGTGCAGCTTTGGCTGTTCTGGGCTTACTTCATAGACAAAGCTGGCCTTGAACTCACAGTGATCCGCCTGCCTCTGCCTCCCGGATGCTGGTATTACAGGCATGTGCCACCTCACCTGGCTTTGTTTTGGAATTTTGAGACAGTTTCTCTCTGTATCCCTGCCTATTTTGAGACATTCTGGAGACCAGGCTGGCCTCGAACTCACAGAGATCTGTCTGCCTCTGCCTCTGCCTCTGCCTCAGCCTTCTGAGTGCTGGGATTAAAGGCATGTGCCAGCACCACCACCTGGCTGCTACAAAAGTTTTTATCTCAACTTCTCTCATATGTAGGACCTCCTCATCTCCTTTCTAGCCAAATCTCGGGCTTCTCTCTGCTGATCTGCTGTCCTTACGGTTCACAATAAACCTCCCACCGGAACGTAGCTCTTTATTTAACTCTTTCTGGTAAGACTGGGTCATCCTATGATCTCACTAGGTTGCCCTAGTCTCATTTTCTAGCACTCTAGAACTGCTTTTTTGTTTTGTTTTGAGAGAGGGTTTCTCTTTGTAGCCTTGGCTGTCCTGGACTCACCTTGTAGACCAAGCTGTTGAACTCACAGGGATCTGCCTCCTCCTTCCCTCAGTGCTAAGATCACAGGCATGTGCCACGGCCCCCAACAAGAATTGCTCTTAATCCATAGAATCCCTCTCCTCTTTGGGATTTCTGCTAGAACAATGCCAACTACTCCGTGTCCTGGATGTCTGGATGTCTGTATGTCTTTCCTTGTCTTCGACATTCAGTGGCCTCAGTTGAGGATTGGTAGTCAAGACTAGCCTGGGCCCAGAGGTTCAGGAGAGAGTATGGCATTGGGAGGCTATGTTAATGTGTTCAGGTGTGCGCTGGTGCAAAGCCATATACAACTATGAAGGCTTTGTTGGGTGGCAGGGACAGGAAATGCAGTACCTAAAGAGACTTGTAGCCTTCTTCCTCTGTTTGGGGATAGAGTGCAGCTCAGTGGTGGAGCATTTGATGCCCAGCACTACAAATATCAGCATGCTTGGAATTGATTAATTTATATGGAATATTGCAATCTTTGGTTCCTTCTTCCATTTCTGTTCCCTAGAGAGAATATATCTTGGAATGTGTGAACTGAGAACATTTTGAAGTTACTTTATATCTTGAAAGTTTATCTCCACAAAAAGATATAGATGTTATGTACCATTCTCATATTCCCTTCTTTTCCTAAAGAACGGGCCACTTTATGTGGTGGAACATACCCTTAAATCAAGCACTCAGGGAGGCAGAGGCAGCTGGATCTCTATTAAGCTCAAAGCCAGTCTATGTAATAGCAAGCTTCAGGTCAGACTCTGTCTCTAAAACAAAACAACAAAAAATGGGCCTTGGCAGTATTCCATGTTAGTAAATAGTAATTTCATTTTTTGTGGCCACTGTGTAGTATTTCATAAAATGGATGGTGCTGTGTTTTATTTAGTTTCTTTCCTGTTAAAGAGACATGAAGGTGTTTCTCTGTTCTAGATGATGCTTACTCTGATTTAAATGTTGGTGTTCTGTTCCTAGGCATTGATCTCAGCCTTCAGCAACCTTCAGTTACCACCTACAAATGGATGATTTACAGTCTCCAGTTCACAGGGAGAACTTAATGGTGGGTATTGTGTGTGTGCGTGTACTTGCTCCTTTCAACCCAAGGCCTAACATACACTAGGCAAATGGTCTACCACTGAGCTTCATCACCAGCCCAGATATCTTGCGCTCATGGTGAACACGGTGTGCTCCTTCTCTGGTGCCCCATCCTCTGATATCTAAGCCTTGCAGCAACTGGACATCCTTTCTTTCCCTTCCTGGCCTGATCACACTAGAACGGGCCCTCAGTATTTTTGGATCTAGACACGTGCCTTTGTTGGTACTGCCCTGTGCTTTGGTTTTCTAGTTCATTAGGTTAGACGCTATGTGAAATGCTTATAGTAGTCCGGGACCACTGAGGGATATGTCGTGCAGTAGCCTGTACTTGGCTCTGATTCTGCATCCAGGCCTTTTTCATTTTGAGACAGGGTCTCAGTGTGAAGTACTGGCTGGCCCATAATTCCCTATGTAGATCAGGCCACAGAGATCTCTCTGCCTCTAGTTTCCAAGTGCTGGGATTAGAGGTGTATGCCATTGTTCTGTCTTGATTTTTTTTGCTACTTTTTCGAGTCCTGAGTTTATCCTTCCTGCTATAGCCGTAGTGACTTCCATCAGCCTGAGAAGACTGTGATGTCATTTCTTGCTTAGATGTCATGGAATTGGAGATGGCTCAGCAATTAAGAGCACTGGCTATGGTTTGGGAGAAAGCAAGGCTTGAAGAGGGACATGCGAGGCTGAGTCAGGGTGACTCCAGAGCAACTACTGAAACCTACAGTCTCCTTAGCAGTCAGAGCCACTCACTGGCTGCTTTGGAAATAGCTGCTGTGGACAGACATAGAGTTTGAGGTGACTAAGAGGCGAGAAAGGAGCAGGTCTTAAAACTTTGGGAAATTAGTCAGAATGTGGTGGGACATGCCTTTAATCCCAGCACTTGGGAGGCAGAGGCAGGTGGGTCTCTGTGAGTTCAAGGCTGGCCTGGTCTACAGAGTGAATTCCAGGACAGCGAGGGCTACATAGAGAAGCCCTGTCTTGAAAATAAACATGTGTGCACACGCACACGCTCGCGCGCGCGCACACGCACACACACACACACGTGCTTGCTGATTGTTGTAAAGGACATGAGTTTGGTTCCTAGAACCTACTTCTGGCTGCTCACAGCCACTTGCAACTCTAGCTCTAGGCTTCCATGGACTCCCACATTAATTTGTGTGCACACAGACACATCCACAGAATCAAAAATAAAATATCTTAGAAACTAATAAATTCTGCTAGAGAGCAGAAGGGGAGGAATGACTATCAGAGCTTCTTTGCAATAGAGATGGCTTTATATTTCCTCAGTTGAAGACCATATGTCTCAAACATATGGAGTGACACATGCAACTGCTATGAGGACAGAAAAGCTGCAACGTCTTAAGAAGTCTGGGCTGCATGGAGAACGTAAACGTTCTGGGAGTCAAGAAGAAAGGAGACAGACCTGAGGTAGCCCTAACAAGTGAGGCAGTTCTTTCTTACTAGATAGTTTTCTTGATGCCTCAAAAGAAGTACTTGATTGAGAAATGCCATGTTCATAACCACAAGGGTTTACTGAATGGAGGAGACTGAACTAGCCCATGCTTTGTATTTAAATAAATATAAAATAATATGAAAATAAAAGAGCATTGGCTGTTCTTACACAGGACCTCGGTTTTGTTCCCTGTACACCCATGGTGGCCCACAACCACCTGTAACTCCAGCCAGGGAATCTGACACCCTCTTTTGGCCTCTGTGGCCACTGCATGCACATGGTACATAGACATCCAATCAAATATTCATACACATAAATAATAAGGCCAGGCATGGTGGCGTATGCCACTTGGGAGGCAGAGGCAGGCAGATCTATTTGAATATGAGGCCAGCTTAATCTACAAAGCAAGTCCAGGACAGGCTCTGTTACACACAGAAACTCTGTCTCAAAAAACAAAACAAATCAAAAAATCTTAGAGGACATAGCAGTATTTCCACTGGGCATTTACAATGTTTATAACTCACCTAGAAAGCTTTCTCTTTGGCTTCTTCCATTAAGAGCCCAGTTTTTAAATGCTGTCTTCTTAGAGGGGCCTTCCTGACCACCTAGGGATTTTATGAGCCACCCATACACTGTCTTTCCCTTTCCCTTATTTGTCATTCCTTTAAAACTTGATTTAATCAGTATGTTTTTTTACATTTATTTATCCATTTTGTGTGTGTGTGTGAGTGTGTGAGTGTGATCAAACTCAAGTCATTTTGCTTGTAGGCAAAGTGCTTTACCAGCTGTGTCATCTTGTTGACTCCTCCTTTTTTATTTTTATTTATGTGTATGAGTGCTTTGCCTACATGTATGTAGGAATACCCATGTGAATGCAATATGTCCTCTGAGGCAGAAAGAGATTACTGGATAGTTGTAACTCCTGGAACTGGAATTACAGAGAGCTGCCATAATAGTGCTGATAACTAAACCTGGGTCTTTAGCAAGAACAGCAAGTGCACCAGGCAGTGGTGATGCATATCGTTAGTCCCAGCACTCAGGAGGAGAAGCAGAGGCAGGTGAGTCTGTTGAGGTTGAGGCCAGCCTGGTCTATAGATCCAGTTCCAGGACAGCCAGGACTACACAGAGAAAGCCTGTCTCAAACAAAACAAAACCCAAAAAGAACAAAACGGCAAGTGCTTTTACCTGCTGAGCCATCTTTCCACCTCATATTATTTATTATTCTTTGTATAGTACTTGTCAGTACCTACACTTTTTCTGGCTTATTTGCTTATAGACACCAAGTTGTTCTTGGCTTATTGTCATTATTGTTTGATCACCTTTGGTAATTCTGTTTGTCAGGATGAACCACCTAACTTGCTTGTCTTAAGTCACTGAATCATTTTCCTGAAACCAGAGAAGGGTGGCAGGAACTTGCTCTGGAGGGGGCATGCATGCTGAAAATAAAGGTAGAGGGTGGAGATAGAATATTTGCTTCCATGGTTGGCTGAGAGAATGGAGTAGTCAGCAAGGTGGGAAATAGAGGCCTGAAGGACAACACAAACATGGTTGAAACCAAAGGCTAAATTCTGAGGTCACCTGAGAACAGGATGGTAGGTGGAGAGTAAGGAGGGCTGGGCAGACATCTCAGGACAGGTTATTAGTAACCATGGTGCTCTCTGAAACAATCCCAGCCGACACTGCCTCTCCCTTTCTTGCCACTTCCTTTTTTTATTTCCTTTAACAAGTATTGTGTTTGTGTGTGTGTGAGGTGCACTAGTGCCATAGTGCATATGTGGGCTCAGAACAACTCTTGGGAGTTGGTTCTCACTTTTCACTATGTGAGTTTCCAGGATCAAACTCAAGTCCATTAGACTTGGCTGCAAGCACTTTTACTCACTGAGCCAACTCACTGGCTGGCCCTTTCTCAGCATTCTTGCCTTGTGAATCCGGACCGAACTTTTCCCATATAGGAAGGATCTGGTAGTTAACATGCAGAGCTCCAAGGAGGTTGCCTGATGCTCTATCTATTTGGTGTTCTGCTTTCTTTAATGTGCCCAGAAACCCACCTTTTTTTTTTTTTTTTTTTTTTTTTCCTCAGTCTCTGCTGCCAGGAGCCTGCTTTCTGTTGTTGTTGTTATTTGGCTATTTTAGAGACAGGGTCTCATGTAGCTCTGGCTCTGGCTCTGTCCCGGAACAGATCTTGTATATCAGGCTAGCCTTGAACTCACAGAGATCCTTTGCCCCCTGAGTGCTGAGATTAAAGGCATGTACTACCACACCCAGCCCAAATATTATTTAAGATATATTTTTATTTTATGTGCATAATTATTTGCCTACTTATGTTGTCTGTGTACCATTCGAGTACAGCATCCTCTGTGACTGGAGTTAAAGACAGTTGTGAGTTGCTGTGTAGGTGCTGGGAGCTGAACTTGGGCCTTCTGCAAGAGTAACAAATATTTTTAATTAAATCATCACTCCAGCTTCTAAGTTTTTTAAATTACAGTTTTAATTTTTAAATTTTAGGTGTGTATGTGTTAGAGTGTGTGTGTGTGTGTACCATTGAAAACGTATAGTGGTCAGAAGACAACTTTGTGGAGCCCTACCTTGTGGGCCCTGGAAATTAAACTCAGGTTGTCAATCTTGGTGACAAGTGTCTGTATCTGTTGAGCCAGCTCTCCAGCCTCTCCAGCTGCAGGAACTTAGGGCTGGATTGAATCTGAATCTGGAATGGTCTTTCTTTCAGTTTACGGTAAGAATAAACTGATGTGCCAAAGAGGCACGAGAGGGGCTGTTACTGATTCTTTTGGAGGAGTGTGCTATCTGTTTGCTTGTGTAGCTTAGACTCTCCTGTAAGCTGAGAGGAGTCAGAGTAGAGTCAGTACTTGCTGAGACAGGCTGTGCACTCTGGAAGGCTGGAGAATGTGACACAGTTGCGATAGTCTAGGCAGGCTGTCAGTCCTGTATGGGGCACACCTGCCCTTCAAGCAAAGAGAGCAGCCCTGGTGGCTGTTGCTGGTTTCCAGGGATGCCCTCTCTTTGTGTGCACGAAGCTTGTCCTTTGATGGCCTCACTTCTCTGTTTAGCTATCATCGTCCACTCAGATTTATATTCTAGATTGCTAACTACATGACCAGCTTGACTCTTTGGCTGCACATTGTTTACTAACACTAAGGTTGCTAGCCAGCTTGTTCTGTTAGCTGTCAGGTCAATGATTTGTTAAAAACATTTTTAACTTTTGCTGGGCATAGTGGCATACACCTTTACTCCCAGCACTCAGAAAGCAGAGGCAGGAGGATCTCTGACTTTGAGGCCAGCCTGGTCTACAGAGTGAGTTCCAGGACAGTCAAGGCCACACAGAGAAACCCTGTCTTGAAAAAACTAACCAAATTTAACTTTATTATAAAAACAACTTGGAAATAAAAAAATACTACACCCTGAAATTAACCCAGCCCAAAGTCTGTAGATCTCAATGAACTTCAATACAGTTAGAATAGCATTCATTAGCAACTATATATTTTACGTGCTTATCCATCTGAAGCTGTGGTAGAGTGGAGGCTGGATTCAAATGTAGAAGCCTGTGCTTCCCTTCTAGATGCTTACAGTATGGAGTAAGGGTCAGGAATGTGTATGCTGACCCTCCTTCAGGTGATTCTGCTACCAGGCATCATCTGAGGACCATATATCTGACTATCTGACAGGGTGCACTGACTTTGGGGTCTTTGTTAGCTCCTTACGCAACTTGAAGAACCAGGAAGCGATTTTTTTTTTTTTTTTTTAAGGGCTGGAGAGATGGCTCAGTGGTTAAGAACATGAACTATCCTTCCAGAAGACTCAGGTTCAGTTCCTAGCACTCACATCACGTAACTCACACTAACTCCAGCTCCAGGGGTACCTTATGCCTCTCACTTCCACAGGCACCAACACTCACACGCACATACCCAGCCCCCATATTAAAATATCCTAGGAATTTAGTTTGTGTCATGTGATAAGTCAGAGAAAAGTTAAGAAGAGATGAAGGAGCCAAGTAAGCAAGGATGTGCCTTCTGGGAGGGAAAGAAGAGTGTTTCTGGGATGGGATTTAAGAAACATGCACAGACCAGATATTGCAGGAAGAGGCAGAACCCAGATACTTAACATGGAGGAACCTAATGTTATTCCCACTGCAGACCAGTGAATGCTTTTGAGACTTACTGGAGGCTTTGCATCAGAAAGCAGTTTCTGTGGGTTTTTTTGTTTTTGTTTGTTTGTCTTCTGGCCTTGAAACTGCCCTGCTCAGAAAGCAGGTTTAAATGCAGACCCTGGTGGCTACCCAGCATAGTCGAGACTTGCCTTGGGTTTTTGTATGTTCACTGTGTTATAGTGAAGGCCTCCCCCATCCAGTTTGGCTTCCCTCAGTTCCCAGAGCCCTCTTTCACATTGCTTCAGTTCTTCCTGTGAGCAACTGGATGTAATTTACCTCCTCTAAGAGCTCTCCTTGCAGCCAGGCATGGTGGCGCATGCCTTTGATCCTGGCAGTAGGAGCTGCCATCTACCACTCTAAAATGAAAAGTACTACCTATCTCTTTCCTAGGTGAAATCACAACACTTGGGTGAAAAGCCTCTGTAAAAAGAACTAAGCTGGGTGTTGTGGTATGAGCCTGTAATCTCAACATTAGGGTGGCTGAGGCAGAAGAGTCACGAGAGACCAGCCTGTGTTACACAGTGAAGAGAAAAAAGGAGTAAAGCACTATGCCACTTGGGCAGATACTGAAGGCCTTGTAGGCCATAACTTAGGTGGAATTATGGAAGGCTTGGTTCTAAGCTGAGGCCTTGAACTTGGTTGTGCAGGTTACAAAGAGACCTTTTTTGTTTGTTTGTTTGTTTCAAGACAGGGTTTCTCTGTAGCTTTGGCTGTCATGGAACTCACACTGTAGACCAGACTGGCCTCGAACACAGATCCACCTGCCTCTGCCTTCCAAGTGCTGGGATTAAAGGAGTTCGTGACCACCACCTGAACTTTAATCTAATTTTTTATTTAAAAAATTATTATTATGAACTGGATGAGGTGGCTTATGCCTGTAATCCTGCACTCAGGGAGGCAGAGGCCAGCAGATCTCAGTGTTTGAGGCCAGCCTAGTCTACAAAACCAAGATTGCACAGAGAAAACCCCTGTCTGGAAAAACTGAAAAAAAACAAACAGAACAAATGGAAGAAGGCAAAGTTCAAGTATGGTTAGCCTGGGCTGCACAGTGTGTTTGAAAGACAATCTTTCTCCAATTAAGCTACTCTCAGACATAAAAAAAAAAAAAAGAAAGAAAGAAACAAACAAACAAAAAGTCCTGTCCTTTGTTTCCTCTGTGGTTTCCAGGCTTTAGATACGTAAAATCGTGCATGTGTATAGGATATGTAGGGCTCTGATAAGTGTTGGGTAAGAAATTAGAGGATGTGCTCCGTCCGTATACAGTGTACTTGTGTGAAAATGTCTTATGTAACCCAGTACCACGTGTGATGAATATATGTATGCAAAGTTGTTGATTTTGACAGGGTCTCGCTGTGTAGCCTTGCTGACCTGGAACTCACTGGATAGAGTAGGCTGGCTTTCCACTCGGAGATAGATCTGCCTGCTTCTGCCTCCCAAGTGCCACCATGCCTGGTGGTTTTCCTGTTTTTAAGAACATTGAATCTTGTGTTTGCATGTGTTCCCCAGCTGACAGGTAGAGACATGGTCTTGTGACACCATTCTTCACAGTGTGATTGTGGAGCTAGACTGCTTGACCTTGGGGAAGTCATTTACTTTCCTGTGTCCTTCAGTTCTTGTTGGTAAGGGATGCTAAAAATGGTACCTGTTTGAAGGGGTTTTATGAAGGATCATCGGTTAGGCTGAGGAGAAGAACACTTACATTAGTTCCTGAGACAGTTCCAGTAGGACTGATTTGCTCTAGTAGTGTTGGCATCAACCCAGCGCCTCACGTGTGCTGGGCAAGTGCTGATAAACAGTGTTTGGTTTTCACTACTTTGACTGTACAAGGTTGAAGAGGGGTCTCATGTTGCCTGAGTTTGTCTTAAACTCAAAGCTCTGTAGCCGAGACTGGCCTTGAACTGGTCCTTCTGTCTCCATCTCCCAAGTATGCAATTATAGGCCTGCCCCACCATTTCCAGTATGTGTGCATGCTGGGCAGGCATGTCACCACTGAGCCACATCCCAGCTTTCTGATTGTTTCTCTTATTATACTCATGAGCTATAAATTACCCCATGTCTCAGCTTTGTTTATGCAGTTTTCTGCCTGTAGATTTTATATTTTTTGGTATTCAGATGTTTTTCCTTAAAGTCTCATCTGTTATAAGACCAGTGTTTAGCTAAAAGTATGCTTTTCTATTTTGAAACTATAAGAAAATGGCTTCATGTTCTTTTGAGTACTATATATATTTAACTTATTAATTTGAATATTAATTTGAATATCAACATCTGTTCCAGTGGAATGTATTGTTAGGTTAAGAATGGTTAAGTCTTAAGTCTTTATTTATTCATTCTTTTTTTTTTTTTTTTTCAATTTAAGGGCTGGAGAAATTTTAAGGGTGCTTGCTGCTCTTCCAGAGGACCGGAGTTCAATTCCCAGCATCCATACCCTGTGGTTCAATTCAACATCCTCTTCAAGCACCCACACACATGTGGCTTAAACACACACACACACACACAAATAAAAGCAAAACAATTAAAAACAATTAAAAACAATTGAAAACAATTGTTTATAGTTTATTTAGTGTGTGTGTGTTTGTGTGTACAATTGTGTTCACTTGGGCTACTAGCATGTGTGTCATGAGGCTTGGTTTCAGCTAAGCATTCTCTCTATCCTCCACTTCTTTCATTTGGGTAGATGTCTAAACCTCCACAGAAGGAGAAGCAAAAAGCAGACTCTTTTTTTTTTATTGTTTTGAGAGAGAGTCTCCCTGTGAAGTCCTGGCTGGCTCCACACTGCACCTTCCTCCATCTGTCCAGGGCTGGGATTAGAGGCATATGCAGAAGCCTTTGCTGTCCCCCTCTCTCCTCATGGCAGAGAGTAGATGTAAGGTCTGAATGTGGTCAAGAGTGTTGCAGTGCTAACCTGAGGTGTGGAGACGGCTCTCCTTGGCTGCAGACTTCCCATGCAGACCCTGATAAAGGACTGCTGTACAGGGCTCACCACTCAGAACAGAATATCCGGCTTTGTTTAGAAACAAATGACAGGTCAGGGCATAGCTTACCAGAAAGCACTTGGCATGTCAGTGCCCTGGGCTTGACCCCAGCACCACACAAACGGCCAGATGACGGTAGCAGCCACTTCCTCCAGCCTGTGCATTCAGTGGAGTATTGGTGAAGGAGCATTGAATGCTAGTAACCCCACTGCATTCCAGTTGTCCTTAACAGCTGGAATTCTAGTTCCAGGAAATTTCTTTCATGCACTTGACATGGAAGAAAGCCAGGTAGAGTTGTGTAATCTCAGTACTACTGCTGCTGGCCACACATAATGAAGGGAAGTTGACTGTCATGTGGAATGCTGCAGCTATGCAAGGGCCTAAGCACCTTTTGATGAAGTGCTCTGGGTCGAGTAGCACTTAACTTCATTGTTCAGAGCCTGTGAATGCAAGTAGTAGATTTTAAAGATTTTTTGTCTTATTTTAAGATTGTTTTTGTGCATGTTCACACAAGTACGGTGCCCCCAGCGTACAGAGAAAGTCTAGGGTCTGCTGGAGTTTTGAGTTACATAGGTGGCAGTAGGTTGGAAATTGAACTCTGGTCCTCAGCAAGAGCAGTAAGCTCTTAACTGCTGAGCTTTCTCTCCAACTGAGAAATACGGTTTTTGCAGAAGAAACTTCAGGTGACTGCGGTGGCAGACCCTGAACAGTGATAGTGCTGTGGAAGACAAGATCACCATGGACATGGACGCGGGGACTGGAGTTCTGCATGTTGTCATGAGCTACTCCAAGGACCACCAGTCGTGACCACCAGGAACAAATTTTCCCCTGCTTTTTGGAGCGAGGACTTGCTGATTGTAGTCTGTGGTCTCCAGACTGTGGGATCAACTTCTGCTCTTTGAAGCCCGAGTCTGTTAGAAAAGCACTAGAGACTAATGCACACACCACCACTTCTGCACTGATAATGAAAACAGGCCCAAAGGTGTCAGACATTGGAGCTCTCTGTAGCTACTACCCTGCGCTCTGGCTCCTGCTCTCACTTTTGCTGGCTGTGCACCTTTACCGTGTACACCAAGCTATTGAAATGAGTCTGTCAGGGTACTTTCCCCTGTGAGTAGAATCCTTGTTGACCAGGTGTCTTCTCCATAATGCCTTTTTTGTATGTGTAGGAGTGTTTTGCCTGCTTGTGTGTATGTGCACCGTGTGCATTCCTAGTTCCTGTGGAGGTCAAAAGATGGCATTGGATTCCTTGGAACTGGAGATAAGGATGGGTGTGAGCTATCGTGGGTGCTGGGAAATGAACCCAGGTCCCCTGCAAAAACAGCAAGTACTGTCACTGAACCATCTCTCTAGCCCCGCAGTTATGTCCTTAACTTTTTATTCCTATGCAATATCAGAGAAGTGTTGACAAGGGTGACCCAATGCCCCACTTTTTCTGGAAGTTTGAAAATTTTATTTTTTTGCTTTTGGAGGCAGGGTTTCTTTGTGTAGCCCTGGCTGTCCTGGAACTCATTCTGTGGACCAGGCTGGCCTAGAACTCACAGAGATCGGCTGTCTCTGCCTCCAGGGTGCTGGAATTAAATGTTGTGCCACCACTGCCCGCATTTTTAATTTTTTCATGCTTTCATTTTGAGCTATTGTGTCTTCTAGAATTCTGTTCACACAGGTCATGCCACGCATTCTTTGGAGCTTTCAGGATGGTGCAGGTAGCCTGTAATTTAGCAGGTGAATAGAGAAGGAACTGCCTTCTGGCAGCACTGGGTCTGAGGGCCCCACAGTGGCTCTGCTGCTAGAGGGAGCCAGCTCAGCTCCCTACCTGCTAGTGCCTCTGCTGGGAAGCTATGGCATCACAGCGGGAAATCTAGCACCAATCCTGGGATTGAACAAAGGCCTGGAACACAATACCTAAGAAATGTTTAAGCCATCTCCTAGAGAGATGGCTCAGTGGTTAAGAGCTCTGGTTGCCCTTCCAGAGGACCTGGGTTCAATTCCCAGCACTCGGATAACAGCTCACAATTGTCTATAACTCCTGTTGCAGAGGATTTGACACCCTCATACACACACATACAAGCAGGCAAAACACCAACGTACATAAAATAAAAATAATTAATTTTAAAAAAGAAGAAATGTTTGTTGAATATCCAGAGCCATGGCTCAGTGGTTGGCATTGGCTGCTTTTCCAGAAGACTCCGGTTTGGTTCCTAGTGCCCACATGGCAGCTCACAACCATCTGTTACTTCAGTCCTGGAGGTGGACACCCTTTTCTGACCCTCACAAGGTTCTGCATGCATGTGGTTCACAGCCATACATGCAGGCAAAACACCCACACACCTAAAATTTAAAAATGGCAGAAAAACAATTTTGCTGTGTGCTTTGCCAGTTTCTGAAGCACCTACTGCCGGCTAACCTTGCCTGGACCTGGTCCTCTGCTGCCTAGACTTCTTCCATTCCTCTTTGTACCACGTGCTGAGCTGTTGGCTGGCCTTTTCTACTCTAAGATTCATCCATCTCCTGAGACTTCAGGCCAGGCCAATGCCCCTGGCTCTCTGGGGACATGCCAGCAAGGTTATAGAGAACATGGACGTGGCTGCAGAATACCTCTTGCTGAATCCCACATGAGCTGCGAGCTGTGGTTTGTAGTCAGTGTAGCACTGTTGTCCAGATGATTACGCCTAAATCAGTTTTGGCTATAATGATTTGCTTCCTCTGTGGAAAATTTAGAAACTTCTTTGTGATGGTCCTTTCTGGATCATCAGAGTGGTCATGATACGAGATACTGGGCCTGCATACTGGGCCTCACTAAGGTCATTTTATGAAGAAAGGTTTGATAGTGTAGGTGGGGCCCAGGCCTCCCATGAACTTGCACAATGCTCTGACGGGAGCCAGGTGCTGTTGCTTGATTCCATGGAGCTTCAGGTTGAAAACTCACAGGAAAACAGCATTGCAGTACTCCTGGCTAGAGCAGGAGGGACAGCCTCCCAAGTTCTGCTCTGGACCTGTTGCTGACAGCTACAACAGAAGTAGTCTGAGCTGGTGTTCTGTGGCTTGGATTCACTTCCAGCTCAGGGAGTCATGGGAATCTGGCTTGCAAGGAGGGAGACTCATGTCTCATCCTCCCAGAAAGCCTTACTTGTATCCTTTCTTTTAAATTTTCAGGTTCTTCTTAGTTTCAACTTGTCTGTTTTTGAGATGGGATCTTAGGTGGTGCATCCTGGCCTTGAGCTTGCTGGGGGTACAGCCATGTCCATATGTCACCCTGCCCTGTTGGCTTGGCTGGGGTGGAGCCCAGGGTGGTGTGTGCTAGACAAGTGCTCTACCAACTGCATCCCTCCGTCGCTGGGTGCTGGAACTTCCTCACAGAGTGAAGCCAAGTGGTATTCACGTGGTCTTGAACTCAGGTCCTTAAACTTGCTTTCATGCAAACAGTGTGATCAGATCGGCTTTTGGAAGGGATGGGAAGAAACTGATAGGGGTCGCAAAAAAGGACAAGGTTCATAGGGCACACAACTTGTCTTGGAGAGCAGTGGTTGAGGTGCCAAGGCCTCTTGTATGCTGTCACCTGACACCCTCAAGCTGTCCCCTCGGCTGTCCCACAGCAAGGACGCCCTGGACAGGAAGGTCAGAAGGGAAGAACAAGCCCACACCCTCACTGGCAAAGTGTTCACATTGCCTTTCATTTACTTTTGAGTTAGAATACAAGCCGTAGGGTATCCTGCTGTGTTGGGCCAGCTGAAAACCAAAGAGCTATGTGCCTTGCTCAAGGTCATGCAGCTAGCAGAGGCTAAGCTAGGACTGCTTTCTTCTGGTTTGGTCAGCTCCAAAGCCAGAGCTGTTTCCCAGAGCTTTGTCTCCGGTGAGCTTCAGGAAAGGAGGCTGGGGAACAGTGGGAAGACGCCACCTTTCCCTACTTGACAGTTTTGCCCATACCAACCTGTTCAACCAGTGCATCCTGTTTCTAGAATATTAGTCTTCAGAGACTACAGCAACAAATTTGGGAGAGATACCAGTGGGCTGCACAGGAGACCTGAAAACCTTTGTTTTTTTTAAACCTCAGTGTAGCCCACAGGAGTTGAAATCTCACCGCTGACTGGCTTTCAGCTTGAAGGCCCTGTTCCGTCTCACATGGAGTCTGTTGTGTTGTAGTGAGTAAGCAGTGATGTTGCAGAAGACAGGGTGTGGTGTGCCCTGCTGCCTGGGCCAGAGCCGGCCACACCTGTCCTGTGACTGTTACAGTAAACTGTTCCTGAGTAAACAAGGCTGGCGCTCTTTTGCTTTTCTGAGGAAGCCCAGATGTCTGTGGGTGCTGGCACAGGTCCAAGGGGTCCTGGCCCTGGGCCAGCAGAGGAGACAGCTAGAGGGTGCCAGGTGATAGGATAACAAGAGGACTGGTGTGACTTCAGAGAGACTAAGAATGTTCTTTCTAAAGACTTGCCCTGGCCTTTTGTTAGAGCTTGGAATTCTGCAGCAGA